TGGAGAAATTTAAGCACCGGCACGCCCCCAAAATTTTTTAGTACAATCCTTTGCTTTGTACCTTTAATTTACAATTCACATTTTTTTCAGAACAGCCTCTTTACGGAATTTTTCGACATTAGATTCTCATACAAACACTGTAATTTCTCACACCTTTGCCTACTCGTCAAGATGGCGTCGAAGACCGTAACAAGGTCTATACTACGTAGAAAAATAGAAAGCTGATCTTATCGCAAGACAACAAAGAAAAACTCTAAAACAAAAGAACACAAAAAAGGGACAAAGGTAAAGTACCTTTTCGATAATACACTTTTTTTACCAGTTGTTTGTTTGTATTTTTTAGTTGTGTATGGTTTGTTTTTACTGTTAGTTTCTCTCATTCGTCCTGCCGTCAGAGAGAGTTTACTGTTTTCTACCGAGTGTAAGTGAAATAGAACCGTCAAAGGCCGTTCTTTGGATCAAGGATTCGCCAAACCCAATTTTTCGTTATTTCAGATCGCTCTGTCAGAGAGACGACCAAACCCAGCCCCCTCCTTTGATCTAAGCGATAAGCTACGCCAGAATGGGCTCCTGGCTACACAATACGAGTGGAAACTGTGACGGCAGAGCACCACTACAGGTCATATTTCCCTTCAATTCATTGTGCGATTTGTCGCGAACAATGTCCTAATTGTTTTCGGTCATAAAAATACTCAAGTGAATAGTAAGAAAAAAATACAAGTGTCTCCTTTATTAATTTTTCATGGCAAAGGGAAAAATATGAGCCTCCTGCAAGTTAGTTCGCGATAGGCAATTTACACGTACAAGGTTGGGAAAACTTTACCCCGTGTCCTGCTGTACAGCTTTGGCATCACCTCTCTTGCCCAATATTCCAGTAGAACGTCCACTGGTTAAGTTTTTTTCCCCACACTTTTTCCACATATTGCGCAAACGACAGAAATGAGCACAAAAGCCCCAAGCCGGCATTTCGCGACGTCGCCTGCGTAAACAGGCGTACCTCTTTTTTGATCTAACTCGCGCGGAAGCGCTTGCTACGCAGGCGACGCCACATTCTCGTTCCCAGAGCTTCGATCCTTTTGGTAAAAAAAAAAGCTCTGGGAACGAGAATGGCGACGCCACCACTAGTTTCCCCGCGACAAAGCGCACAAATTCCTTACCAATGACGCGTCCCTACCCGTATCTGGGTAGTGCTTCTGATTGGATTTAAAGCAAGTTTTCAACCAACTAGAAGCAATACCTAGATCTAGTGGGAACGTCAGCGGAAATTCTGGGCTCGCTCCTCAGTTGTCATTTCGCGGTAAAACCAGTGGTGACGTCTGGAAATGATGCCTGTTTCCTCAGGCTAAAAAAATCTCGAGCATAAGTTTCAAGTTCGACCTTCATTTGACGATTTCTTTGGTCACACAATAAAGAAACACAAAATTTCTCATTTCATTGATTTTATTGTAAGAAAAAAGTACAAAAAAAAATCAAATACTTACACGGCAGTTCCGAAACAAACGCTTTTCATCCATAGAAATTCATTTACTATAACGTCGCTTACACGGGCAACAGAAAAACAGGTGCGGGTGGCCAGACACAGGGTTAAACCGGACACAAAACTCACAAACGGTACTAACACAGGACTGTCTTTGCGCAAGTCTTCTTCAATTTCATTACCAGCACCTCTCAGGTTCGGGTTCTGTCAAAGATAAAAACAAGAACAAATGGTGAAAACACGTTTAAAACTTCCCACCCCGAACCATTTGTTCCCTTTCCTTTGGAGCCTCAACCATCAATGAGACGCATACCTTTTCAGTAAGTTCTAATCGTTACAAGCACTCCCTTATTTTTCTTCAAATGGGGCGGATCGCATAACACTCGAGCAATAGACGGCAAATTCGTGCGTCTCGCTAGCCGCTCGCATAATATGCATTATTCCCCATTCACAAATAAGAGACTGTTCGGAATCCAACAGGCTCAGGCCTAATTTGTCTGCTTAAACGAATCCAACAACTCCCAGCAATGTTAGGACCTGCAGTTCATCGGGGAAGTAAAAATACCCATAAGACTTCGTAAACCGCTTGTCATGCGCGTGCGTGGCCCCAACAACATTGGAAGAGCTGTGCAAAAGCATAGTTTGTGGTTCAATTTTATCCTTGGTTTAAATTTTATTTTCTTTTGTTTCAAACTCATTATCATACATAACCATACCCAAAAACAAAAGAAAATAAAATTTAAACGAAGGATAAAATTGAACCACAACACATACATTGTTGCGCTACGTTTCGGCGATCTCACGGAACAACAGAAATCTTGGAAGGTGTGACCGGTTTCAACCTTTGCGAAACAACTCCCACCAGGGTGTGCAAACAGACGCAACATGCAACATCCAACAGTTTTGGAAGCTGTTGACCAACAATGTTGCGTCCGTTTGCACGAGGCTTTAAAGCTTTGAAGCGTGCCCATCCGCCACCAACGCTTTTTTCACGCAACTGTTTCAAGCCCCGTGTTCCCACTTTGGGGGATTTGTCATGAAAGGTCTTCAAGAAGGTGGGGAATTTGTATGCCTGGCAATGCAGCCGTCTCTCCCTGCTCCTTGTAGCCTGCAACACAGCCGTTTTTAGTATCGTCACGTAACGCTCGACATCAAAAACGGCTCTGTAGCAGACTACGCTCCTCACCGTTTGGACGTTTCATGGAGACATCCCGCTCAACGTCCAAAGCTGCGAGAAGCGATAGTCTATTTCTATATGTTATGCACGACTGTAAGGGGTTTTGGTAAAAATCTTAAGAAAAGACTAATAGTATATTTTCAAAATGACCGGTCTGGCCGGGCAGTCCTGACCTTAGGAAAGCGCACTAAGAATGTCAAATAAATTCCGTTTGCTTCGCGGAAATTACGGATAATTTCGGACTGTCGACATTTTAAGAACCCTACACTTGTATCCAACTGCTAGGGTCGCCACAAGGATCCTAACCTGCAAGCACAAATTCCTTCGATCAAAGGAGACTCTACAAGCAGGACACCAGGTTCCCGGGAGTACGACATTTTGTTATTTAGAAAGGGAGTGCGTAAAAAGGCACAGACAAATGCGAACGGCGACGACAAAAAAAAGAACAAACACGAATAAAGGATAAACTAAGATAGAAAACATTTTGCCCTCTGATTAACAGCTGAACTTTTGGAAATAACACCATTCTATCCTATATTCTTTTGTGGAAATGTATCGCGCATGAAGCCAAAAAGAATTTGACTAATGGGCTGAAATAGCTTTAAACCCTTACGGTAGTATCCGGTAAGAAGATCACCATACCTAGGAAAAGGCGAATTTCCCCTCGCTGCTTGCAATGACTTTCAAGAAACCAATTCAGAATTCAGTTCTACAGCTAATTCGACAAAGGTTGTCGGAAAAAATGTGCACGCGACAACGCCGAAAGGTAATATGGGATATGATCAATACACTGTTCCTCACGACTGTAGCTGTCGAACCTACTTTTGTTGCTTTCCATTAGCACTCGCCAACATATGTCCGTGGCCTCTCGTGCCATTCTTTCAAATTTCTTTGGAGAACAGGGCAGACAAAACCACCCACAGTACCTTTAGGGATTGTCGCGTGCACCTTTTCCGACAACCTTTCTCGAAACAGCTGTATACAGCACCCGAGGATAGTAAACCGGCTTGACTTGCCACCGAATCCCGTTAAGAGACGAACGCCTGCACAGTGCACCCACGCGACCAAAACCTCGCCTACACTGTTCGGCATTGAGTAAAGTCAAACGCCGCTGGGCAGCTTGCTATGCCCCTGGGGAAAGAAAGCCCTTTCATTTTCTCTAATTCAACCCGCTCAATACGGACACCCCGTTAGTACGAACAGTTTCTTTAGCCCCTTCAGTGTACCGTATTAACGGGGTCTGACTGTGACTGTATGCGAGAGTATGCTATTACCACAAGCCAGCAAGCTACCCCAAACACAGTGCACGCTCAGCTACACGTCACCAGTACCTATTAGTTCTTTTCGGACGTAACAACAAAATACAAAAGAGAAGGCAAATAACAGGAAAACATGGCCCCGTTTCCCACACTTCCCAGCTCTTGGAATTCCACTTCGCACGTATTCTTGATTTTTCCGAATTTTGCAGGTATTCAGATTATAAATTATATGAAAAGCTGAAAAATTTTCAAGTGAATATTTCGAGGAACAAAAACGACCAAATTGCTTCAAAAGGACCAAACAGACTTCGAGAGAGCGAGGAATTCATGCGTACGCATAATCCTCATGTTGTATACATATTTATGGTCATGGTTGTGTATGGCAACTCTGGTTCCTCTCCCTCGCCCCAGGGCCCAAATTAAGCACAACTGCCATAAAAATTGGTTAAACAGAAAAAATTTTTTCCTCAGCTCTGCCTAAATTTCGCCACGCACCACTGTTTTTCCCCCGAAATGATGTCCGAGGCCAGGAATGAGGGCAGATATCCCATACTCATGACTTGTCACAGCCCAGATCTGGGAAGTGCTTTCAATTGGTCGAGCTGCGAAGGAAATGATTTTCTTCAACCAATCAGAAAAGCAACCCAAATCTGGGTAGTGACACGTCATCAGCATGGAATTTCTGCAGTGGTTCCTCAGATATCATTTCAAGGAAAACTGATGGTGGCGTCGCGAAATGTTGCTGTTCCCTCAGGCTAGGACAAAAGTGAAGAGTAACAATTCTAACCGACAGTAAGGACTGCAAAAGTAGGTTGAGTTTGATCGTCTGGGTGAACGTAGTCCTGAATAGGACTGTTGTTGCTGACAGTGACTGACATTTCGACAACCTGTGCGGTAGTCACTTTGACTCTGAAGATGACTACCGCACAGGTTGTCGAAACGTCAGTCACTGTCAACAACAACAGTCCTATTCAGGACTACGTTCACCCGGACGATCAAACTCAAGCTACTTTTTAAATGACTCGTGGGTTTAACCCTTTCACACTAAGGACTGCGTTTAGAGGGAGCCCCTTCCGTTTGCTGAGAAACTAGGTAAACAGGTGCGGATCCACTCCCGACTCGACATTCTACGTTAATCGGTTAGATTTTTCATAATAGATATATTTTTGATAAAGATAAAACTTTCCAAGTTGCAAGGCTTCATCCAAGGTGAATGGAACTAGCCAATATCCTGCCCGAATGACTCAGAAACCCAGGAAAGGGGACTAAGGGAGAAATATCTTAAAACTTTCCGGGGGAAGCATGCCTACCCCCCCCCCCCCCTCAAAAATTCCCCCTTGGGGGCGCGTTTGGGTCTGTGGGCAGTTTTTTCCCTCTATTGTCCCCCGGAAACCACCCCCCCCGGCGGTCTCTCACTTCCACCCACCCCCCCCCCTTTTATTAACAAATCTCACTCTACTCTTACGACCTGAGAGGGGACATCCCGGTGGAGACGAAACAGTGAGATACCGTCAGATAAAAAGAAGAAAAGCCGGGAAAGAGAAAGAAAGAAAAAAATCTTGAAACTTGGCCGCGGGAGACGGCCTTCTCCCCCCCCCCCCCCCCTAGAAGATTGCACCTTCGGCGCTCGTTTAGGATTTAGGTCAGTATTTATCCTAGATCTGCGCCTAGAAAGCATCCCCGCATGCGGTCTTCTAGACTTCCCAACACCCGCCTGTTGTATTAACAGAATTCACTGCAGTAAATTATGGAGGACAGAATTCACCAACAATGTATTTACAAGCCAAGTGCAGAGGAGCCTAGAATCCAACATACAAAGTTACATGAAGGCTTATTATTGAAGCATTGAACCAGTTTTGTTTTGTTTTCTTGCTTTTGATATGGGGGAGGGGTGGTTGAGTGATAGCCATAAGGGGTTGACGGAAGGGAAAGTTAAAAATTGGGCGTTTTTTGGTGTCGTGGGGACAAATATTTTGTTAAGCTGTGCTGTGGTGTGGTACAGGTATTGTTCAATGTCCTTTGGACTTTTCACTATTATTATGGCAATTGGTGACCACAACATAAGCAACGCCAACAAACTAGACCAACCTGACTGTTTGTCAGTAGAGCAAGCATGAATTAATGGGTTTTTTTTTTTAAAGAAAATCACACATGCCAGCAAAGTCTCCTTTTTGGTCCGACAAAACTGTGGTCAGAAAGGGTCAAGTAACTATGCATGGTAGACCCAGAAAATTCAACTGACTACTGTCATATTGTTCATTGTAACAATGTTACTTCGTTTCTATGACAATTCACACAAACTCAAGGTAGATTGTTTTCACCTATATCATGATAGTCTTTGGTATTTACTTAACCTGGACATCCTATCTGACCACTGATTAGATTTGAAAACATATAAGTCAGACACTGTCAGATAAGCAACTGTTATCTGCAGCTGTGGCAAATACCCCCAAAATGGCCATGCATACCGCAAAAACAAATAATCAACACTTACCTCAACAGCTGGTTCAGTCAAAGATATGCCTCTTCAGTTTTCAATGATTTTAGATTTTAGGTTTGCAAAGATTTTCAGGTTGATTTTGGGTGACTGTTATTGTAGAGGGAATATTTTATACCACATATTTTATTTCATAACACAAAAGATCTCACAATGTTGGCTTTCAGCCAATTGCTTTGTGTTAGGACTGTTTTGGGGAAAAGATTTTATTAACAGTTTTAGTTTTGTGTGTTGATTTAAGTTTCAACAAACTTTACAAGCCACTTCTTGCTCTTAAAAAGCAGTGTTTAGCTCAATGTTGATTTACACTTCCCAGTTACTTTACACACCAAACTGCTTGCTGCTAGTTTTAAAATCCAACACACTAAAAATCATTGCTGCCCAAACACATTTTTCAACTGCCATCTTCACCTGTCAGTGCATCTCCACTTTAACTTAAAACAGGCATAGTTGAAAAATTCAGAATAAAAACTGGAACTCTTATTCAATACAGAGGTTCCACTTTGCTTAAAAGCTGCCTAATGAATTCATTTGCTACTATCTTGGAAATCACTAAAACTATTGAAAAAGTTTTTATCAAGCACTGATGTCCAATTACGTCACCCGGGTATATTAAAATGGCAAACAATCAGATAAACACAAATCAAATCAAGCCTCAGTCTTCCAAAACAAATCCACATTGAAATGTTAATAAGGCCAAATTGCTTCAAGATCTTGTTTCTTACATGTTGCCAAAACATCTACATTCTAAAAGCCAAATGAAACAGACAAAGGATCATGTGGAATGAGCTGCCAAATAAAAATTTGCCGCAAACAAATTTCTTTTTTCACTACCACTGCCCGCCATAGCTGTCACTGTACCATTCTTGGTTCGACTGGTTTCCGTAGCCACTATCATACAGCGGTTGCTGCGCAATTGGCTGGCTTCCCCAACCTCCTCCTTGGCCCTGCCCCATGTACCTGCGCTTGGGATCAGGATACTCCACTGGTGTTTGCAGTGAATCTGCACCATACTTCCTCTTGCCAGGAGCAACACCACCTCCTCTTGGTCCACCACGTCCGCCTGGTCCACCCCTTCCACCCCGTGGTGGACCACCCCGGGGTCCTCCGCGGCCACCTCTTCCTTGAAACCCACCACCACGCATTGGACCTCTACCAGATGAACTACCACGGGGAGGGCGTGGAGGTCCACCTCTACCACCTCTAGGAGCTTCCCCATACCGGTCACCATAGCCATAGCCCCCACTGTAATCATCATAGTAGCCATCACCATAACCACCTCCATAACTATCTCTATAACCATAACCCCCACCATATCCACCACCACCACCATAGTAATCATCATACCCCTGATCATAGCCTTCATAGTGACCATGCCTATCTCCATACGGTGCACCACGACCACGCCCTGAATGACCTCCACGAGGACCACCTCGCTGCCCCCCGCGTCCAGACTGTCCCCCTTGCCGTCTTTCCTTATTGGCTGGCTGTGGCTTAGCCAAGGCAATTTCTAGTGTAATCCCATCCATTTCAACATTGTTCAGAGCTTCCATGGCTTTCAGAGCATCCTCCCGTTCATTAAAGTGAACAAAGGCATAATCTTTCACTTTCTTGGCCTTTTCAACCGTGCCATATTCCTGGAACTTCTCTTTCAGCTGCTCTTCAGTAACATTGGGTGAAACGTTCCGGACATAGAGAACTTTGACCTGCAATCAGTGAAAAACATGTTTGAGAGCTTCAAACCAAGTGGCCCGTTGCTCCTTAAACTAACCACTGTGGGGCAATGACGCCAAGACTAGTACTACAAGGAAACCTGACAGAAGGATTTGCATCTGAAATGGAAATTCACTAATACAACAATTGATGACAATGGCCTGTCCTTGCTTAATGTTACTACTGACACTAAAACATAAAAAACCCTAAACAGCAATGGTTTTGGACTGAGGATGGGTAGAAGGTAGACTGAAACTGTTAGAAAAAGTCAAACTGTTACTTTCTAGTTTGATTTTGCTATTCAGTAAAATTGCAGTTCTAGGCAAATAATTTGCCTAGAACTGCAATTTTGAAGCACCCTATTTAAAAAGGCAAACATACAAATTTAAGAAAAAAAAATACTTTTCTGAGGAAATAATATGTATCCTCTCGTTAGCAGGGGTTTCAATAAGTACCAACAACCGACAAAACACATTGGCTTCTTTGCTCAGAGAAGTTGGTTACTTTTTCGCCAAAGAAGAAGCAACTATAATGTTTGAATAATGTCGTACACATTATTGTCGTAACGTCTCAATGAAAATGGAATTATGATGTGTTCTTTAATTCACAAAGAACCACTGGATTTACATGTATGGTACGCTTTAGTTGGTTGGTTATCTCAATGCCATATTTCAGTCAATTTTCCACACCTTTTTATATAGATTTATCCAGAATTTGTTCACGTGCAAAAGTATATTAATGAATTACTGTCATTTGTGTTAATTGCTTGAAGTTGATGGTGTGGCTGATAAACCGAAACTTGAATGAAAGCTAGTGTATTTTTCCCGTTATAAGGCGCAGCATTTTTTCGATGAAAGTTTGCTTGATAGCTCAAAATCTGCTGTAATTTTGGGGTGCGTCTTATAACTGAGTATCTTCGGGCAACAAAACAAAATTGAGTAAAATTTTTAACTCTACGAGTTCTAGCTGCTAATTCTCTTCTTTGTTATCAGTTTTCAATGACTTCTACCCATCCTCTTAAGCTGTCTTCTAAAGCTGGTACTAAGCGACAAACGAATCATTTTGCATTCGAAACAAATCATCTGGCATTGATCATTTTGAACTGAATGTTGATGCTTGGTAACCAGGCAAATATTTGACCTCATGCTTGACCCAAGATGGCGCTTTGTTTACACCCATTTCTACACTGCGATCTTGAGCTTCTTTCAGACCTGTATTTTCCAAGGAAAGCTCCCAAATCTGTTGAGAACTGTGAGAGCTCTTTTATCATAGTTATTTTGATAATTACTGGATTTGGCAGTTAATTAACAAATTTTTCAGGCTCATGCATTACGCGATTGATTTTATCTTGATACTACTGATGTCAATATACTGCAACCAAGACAGCTGACTTGTTTATGGAACAAAACGGATTTCCCAAGTATTCGCAGCTTCAGAAAACAATACTTTTTGTGTTAATAAATGCCGTTCTATTCTCTTTTGATCAAAATATGTAACCTTTTGCACTTTCATTCACGTAAGTGAATAGCCATAATCCGCATTGTTGGAAAGCGCGTTGTTGTAGTTAAAGTGAACAAAGCTAAAAATCACGGCTGCGCCTTATAGCCAGGTATTTTGGCTTCATTTTCAGTTTGTTAACCTATAAAAATTGGGTTGATAAGTTTGGGGCGAGTCTTATAACTAAGTGCGCCTTATAAAAGGAAAAATATGGTACATCTTCTTGAATGAAAAACACCCTGGAAATCGCAATTTAGGGCTCACAAATTTTAAAATTACTTGGAGGAACATGCCCCCAGAACCCCCCAGAAAAAGGGGACTAATGGCCCCTTGTTGTTACTGTCAGTTACTCTAATGAAACCTACTGGCTACTTCCATTTCTATTGAAACCCCTGCCTTAGGGATACTCGGAAAGAGCTAAGAATGATCTGACCATATAGAAGCAGCCAGTTGGCTATTTACTGAGACTACTGAGAACAAATCCAACTAGCACTCAGGGAGTGATGTAAACTCATGATCAGGGCAAACTGATTGCATGAAAAGAGATGACACCCTATCTCCTATAATATCATCCTCGGAGACCCAGGGGCAGTCAGTCAGGTCGGGAGAAAAGACAGGACGAAAATTTTCAAGTACAGGCAAAAGAGCCCCTGGGTTATGACTCTCATCGAACTATTTCCAAAAATTCAAGCAGATGCCGTCTCCTGATTGTGCACAAAAAATGCTTTGTATTATTGTGCCCAATCGCCAACAGTTTCTCCTGAGTTCTTTCCGTGACTTTGTACACGACAGCTATTGTCTTGCCACGCTTGCCCGGTTCGTTCATCAAACTTGAGCGTGCAAGGGAAACTTTTCTTTTCTACTTTCCTGTCCAGAAACGAAGGAACTACCGATGAGTCGAAAAAATGTTTGGAATGTTATCAGCAGGAGCAATTCAATTTGCCCCAAGTTAACAACTGCGTTGCTGAGTGGAGGTGGGTGCCCAGGATGTCCAGGGGCTTCCACCTTTGGCACAGCCAGCCCCTAGACAGCGTTACACCCCCATGGCTTGCAAACCTGCGCCCTCCAGCCATGAGCCCCTAAGCCAATGGAAACAGGCACCTGTCACACTGATTTAACACTGGAAGAATTAAGGGGGGGAGGGATGGGGGTAAAAGAATGATCCAAAGGCTAAACGAAGAGAATGGCCGCCATGAAAACACTGTACTGTGCACATGGAGGTGATGCAAGCAAGGCTGACCGTGCTTGAGCCAAATGACTGACCGCTGACCAGGCTCGCACTCCATGTTTTTAACTGTGTTAAATAAATATTTATTTAACCTCATTTAACAACTGCATTGCTGAGTGGAGGTGGGTGTCTGGGATGTCCAGGGGCTTCCACCTTTGGCACAGCCAGCCCCTAGACAGAGCTACGCCCCCATGGCTGGCAAATCCGTGCCCTCCAGCCATGAGCCCCAGGCCAAGTCGAAAGGACCTCTGAGCTGAATTCCAAGCTTGGAGAGAAGGGGTTCATGGCTGGGAGAAGCCTGAGCCCCAATACACCAAACCCGGAGGCACCCACCTATGCTGAGCATGAAGAAGCATACAAAGGCTAAACAAGACCCAAGTGCCAAACGTACAATGCCAACACCCCACAAATGCTCCAAATGCTGTCAAACGCCACCAACGTCCAACCCAACGCCCCTAAATTCTACTAACTCAGTAAACGCCACAAGGGTCCAACCCCAAAGGTAAAAGAATGATCCAAAGGCTAAACCAAGAGAATGGCCTCAACGAAAACACTGTACTGAGCACGTGGAGGTGATGAAGGCAAGGCTGACCGCACTTGAGCCAAACGACTGACCGCTGACCACGCTCGCGCTCCTTGTTGTTAAATGTGTATTTAACCTCATAATATTCTGTTTTTGACTCATCACAATATATCGTAAATCGATAGGAAGTTTAAGATGCGGTGGTGATGAGAAAGTCAAATAAGCAATAGCTTGCAAAGACAAAAAAAAGACTTTGCACATGCATCACACTTTTTTGCACATTTCTTTGCCGTCAACTGCACGACTACCCGTCAAAATGCTTAATCAGTAATGTTTTGTGAAGGATGTAAACAAGCGATGACAAAATTCATTCTCTTCATGAACTTGGATCTGGTTGATAGAAATTCAGCTCCAAAAGAGTTCGCTTGCATTTGACAAAGTAAGCGAGTTGGAATAATCACGATAGAAACTAAAAAAAGGTGAATTCTCTTTTCTATGCGCCGTTTTCGTGGTCAGTCGTCGTGGTATCTTTTAAAAACTCCCTAATTTACGCATGCAAGACATGGCAGATGGAAGCATGAATACCTGTGGTAAGCTCAAGCCTGTATTTTTGGAAAAGCATCTTTAGTTTTCGGGCAGACAGTATTTTAAAATCAGATGGGGATTTTATATCAAACTGAAAGTTTCCTGACTGCCTGCATTTCTTTGGTGCATGAGCCAGACAAGCCGTAATCGAGACAATAGCCGTCGTGTACGATTTCATGAAAGAACTCAGGAGAAACTGTTCGCCGATTGGGCACAATAATACAAAGCGTTTTTTGTGCCCAATAAGGAGCTGGCATCCGCTTGAATTTTTGGGAAAAGCTCCGTGAGAGTCAGTACCCGGGGCTCTTTCACCTGTACTTGAAAACTTTCGTCCCGGCTTTTCTCCAGACCCGATGGACTGCCCCTGGGTCTCTGAGGATGCTACAATATGAAATTCTGTATGTACTTTAAATATGAAGTTTTGCTAAAAAGAGGAATGTCAATACAAGGTTAGTCGCTTTTTTAGTGACCGCAAATTGCTGAATTAGCCTTACAATCAATACATACTTGAATAACTCTTAATATACATTGTATTTCAATATCTCTTAAAACCCCAAAATGATACTTTGCAGTAGCCTGAATTTCATCCGATTGCTTGGAGTAGTTTTTTCCTCTCAGCAACGTCTCAATCAACCATTCCATTCACCGTAAATGCCGTCCAGTGACGTCACTACTACCCGAAAACTGGGTAGTGATTTTGAATGGTTGATTGTCTAAATATTTACATAATTATGTATAATTATGAGAAATTTTATCGGGATTGTCACTTGATATTCAGCGGATCGCATTGGTGGCATCCTTGCATAGAGTGCAAACATTTCGATAATCTTTATTGTAAACAGCAAAATTGCCTTTATCTTCGAAACTGAATTGCAAAATTGAACTGTGAGTGAAGAATTATTGCGGAGAGTCGGTAGGTTTTTCATTTAGAGCTGCTTTGTGGTTTCCGCAATGATTTTGTTTATACGAAGTTTCTGAGACCAATGTCATGTTGTCATTCGACCTTCTTGCTATTTTCACAGTCAAGAGTGTCATGATTCTGTTAGCTTTTCTTTCTTGTTTCGTTGCTTTCTTTTTTATTCGTTAAGGACCAAATAGCTTGTTTTCAATTAAACAAAAAGGGTTGTGTTTTAGAACTAAGTGTTCCATGTGCGTATTTATTTCATTGCGTGACTGCCACCAAGTTTGAATAATAATATTATTACAACCGGTTCATGCAGTTGATAGTTTGAACGTTAAACATGATCAAAAAGAGTAAAGCATCTGTCAGCTGTTCTTATCATGGAGACATTTCAAAATGATATTTCTTGGTTCGCCACTTGAAAATCGTGTTTTACTTTTTGCATGAATTAAAGCAAAGGAGTAGTGACGTCACTGGACGACATTAACAGCCGGTCGATTCAGATGTTACTGAGGGAGTAATAACGACTCGATGTAATCGGATGAAATTCAGGCTAACTTTGAATTAGTAATGACAATTTTAATTTTCAAAGACTACCTTCGACATAACTTCCTCATCTGGTTCATCTTGAGGATCTGCCCAGTCAACAGTCACAACTATGGTCCCCCAAACTTTAACTCTTCCACTAGACAGCCTGCGACGAGCCAAAGATGCAGCCTGGTGATTTTCATACTCCAGAAAGGCAAAACCCCTGTTTCTTGTCTTGTCTTCCGCTGACATGTAAACAATCACATCGGTCAGTCCTGAAGTAACTTTGCCAAACTCCTCCATGATTTCTTCTTTCTGTTTGGTCTTAGGTATGGAACCAACAAACAAACGGTTGTTCGCCACAGAAAGACAAACCCCAAGACGTCTGCCAGGTCTGATCTCCTTGTTGTCAAGTTTCTTCATGGCCTCTTGAGCCTCCTCCTTTACTGAGTATGTGCAGAAGCCATAACCTCGGTTCTGGCCTGTCAGAGGATCCACCATAAGTCGGAAGTCATAGATTCTTCCACACTCCTCCAATATGGGAACCAGTTCATCTTCAAAACAATCTCTGGGAATTTTGCCAACAAAGACTTGACAACAGACTTTCTGTGTAGAACAATAATGCAAAAAGAAAACAAAAAGTAAGTTTCAAGTGAAAGGTAAAGCCTACTAGCCTATTCCTTGAGGAAGCAAATGTGGTGTTCCCCAAAAAGGAAAAAAATTTGCACAAGGGAAAGTTGAAGACTTGTAACCAGGTTTGAGAAAGAAAATGTAGTTTTCCCTGCCTTTTTGTAACACTAAAATCCCATAAAACATATGACAGCACAAGTTGAGAAACAACAGATGTTTCAATAACTTCCCAAGTGCATGTTTAAGTAGGCCAAAGACCTGTACAGAGAAAGTGGCAATTTGACCCCATTTTCAGAGCAAAAATACCTCTTTTATGTCACTTCTCCATTGGACAGGCAAGATTCATATTCTGGTTGTCCAAAAGTAAAATTGGCTGTTGTTCCTTACAATTTTTGATACATCACTATTTCAAAAACAGTCTTGGAGCCCTGGTTAAAGCTCAGAGAGTTCACCATTGTCCCTTTCAGTTTTATGACACAACTTCTAGATTTACCTTAAAGCAAAGGTTCTATCTAAATACTGATAACATTGTAGCAAACTTTAAGCCATTGCAATACTCAACTTTAGGAGCCTACCATTTACTAGGTTTACTAAGGTAATTTTAACCCTTCAAGTCTCAATAGTGACCAACAGCAATTTTCTCGTAACGATATCCATACATTGTCAAGAGATTAGGTTATGAGAATTAATTAAATGATCACCAAAGAGAAAATGCTTTGATCATTTATCAAACTGTCTCAACTTATTCTTTAAAGAAATGTATAGAGATCAGTTTGGAGAATTTGCTTGTGGATATTGGGGCTTAAAGGGTTAAAACATCCTGCAAACCAACCAAAAACTTTTTAACTCTACCAACTTCTAACAATTGCGAAAACAATATATTGCAGTGAATCAAGTTATAATAAAATAAATTGGAGTAAATTTGTAGGACTGATACATTTTTTTCAAACAATAAAGGTATCATGTTATTTCAAAATAATTCTCTAAAAGTGACATCTTCTGTCAAATTGTTTAATCCACTGTCACCATTCTTGTTCGCACGCTTTGCAAAGAGGTTTCATTAAGGGCTGGGCAGCGGGCAAATTGACCGGCTGTGAATGCAACTTTGCCGGGCTGCTTAACTTCTGAAAGAACTTTTTTATTACAAGTAACGATCAAAAACAGTTTCACGTAAATTATACAATCATACCCTTTTCTTGATGAGTCTTCTCAAATGCAAAACATACTGTACCGTCAAATTTCCACTTTATCACACACCATGAAATCCCCTAGTTTGTTTTGAGTTAAAAACAAGAATCACCCCATAATGCATTGCAAAGAGAACTGTGCCCCATAAAAGAGCATCTGAAATGTCTCGATAAGATTATGAACTAATTTGTGTGGTGGATATTGGTACCAAATCACCGGCAAATTGTCTAGAAAGGTTATCTTTTCGTGGAAGTTGAAGGACAGTGTCTGCAGCTTCAGAATGCAGAAAAACACATCTTTGCAACTGCAGAATTTCAAAATTTCCAGGGAAGCATGCCCCTACACCTGTCCTGGGCAGGGAAAAAGGCCTAAAGGGCCTTTCCATTTCTTTGCCAGGTTGTCAAACCTAGTTGCGCTCCTTTTCACAGCCTTAATGAAACCCATGTTTGCATAGCATCTGTCTTCAAACTACACGAAAATAGAGACATTTAGATTCAAGCACATGCACAAGGAAGACTAAGAGGACGAGATTTAACTTGGACGTTTTTTCCATACTTTCAAAAACTATACACCCCACAAAGCTTCATTGCATTTCTTTTAACCAGAAAAGTTAGCATGGTTATTTTATTGAAGGAGGGTAAGCCCACTCCCCATCACAATACGGTAAAACTTCTAACATTTGATAACTTGTTTCTGCCACTGCGATATTCTCACTAAAACGTTGTATACAGTAAAAGCCCATGAGTAAGAACCTGGATTTTGCCAAGTTAGCCTAAACAGGTCCTTACATTAGTGGTAATTAGGACAAATTTAGGCTGTTTAGGTTTTTAAACAAGTTTTACTTTCTGAAGAAAAAGTGCATTGCAGCTGAGAGTATTCAGTGGCAGCTCGTTCCTTAGGCAAAACCTATATACCAATAACACAATAACTATTGCAGTTGAAGTAATAAGGCACCTAATGTCTCCAAAGAGGATCATGAATTTTGACTTATCTTATTTTCCCAAAGTGTACAGAATTTTTTTTAGAAATTTTAGAAAATAAGAACCTGTTTTAAATTTTAGGCTAAACAGAATATTGTATAGAGGGTGGCTAACGGGCAAATTTGAGCCTAACAGGTTCATAAAGCCCAAGGGCCCAGTTGTTCAGAGCATGATTACCACCAACCCAGCTTAAATTCTAATCCGTGTTTCTTTTCTTTGTTCCAAAGCATTTTCTTGGATAATTTTTTGTCTGTTATTTTAAGAGCATCCACATCATCAAATTGTAGACAAAAAGAATTAAACTGATATTACGTTTTTAAGCTTTCACATTTGAATTCGAACTTCCCACTAACCCTGAGTTATCTTAACCTAGCTTTGAACAACCCAGCCCAGGTTCTTAGTCACGGGTTTTTACTGTATCATGCTCTCCAACCATAATACGCTGTAGTTCATGTGTTGGCGCCACTTAGTATTGAGAAAATTTCAACCTCGTGGTCATCCTCGTTTTACAATCTAAAAGTCTCTACTGTATTATTTCTTTGCAAAATCTGTGCTCTTCTGGTTCACGAATGACTGGTTCAACAGAAAAGCAGATGCATCCTCTGAATGCTTTACTACAAGTTTGTGAATGGAACTATTTATAGTACATTTGTGGCAGTAACTTATTTCTCCAGCAACCACAAATCCCACTAACACATTTAGACGGGGTTTTTACCAGTTTCAAGCCTAGGACATTTTCACACAACTGGGAAAAGAAGGATGGATGGACACTACCGAAATAAGCAGGTTTCCGGCTACTCTACTTGCGAGCGAAGAAAAACTAACAAAAATAGTAAAAACGAAAATGCCCTGAAAAAGATGCTCAAGAAGTTACCCAGAAAATCTCTACAAATTACAACTTTTTTAAGTAAAAATAAGGGGGGGGCGCAACTAGGATGAGCCATGGCAACAATTCAAAAAGCGACATACTCAATGAAAAGCTTGTACAAGAACACATGGTTGCATAACGTGCAGGTGACAAAGAAGTCACAAGACGCTTCTGCATGGAAAGTCTCCCTAAAATGTTCTTACCTCGCTTCCTGTACCAGGAGCAGGTCCTTCCCAGCCAGGTGGTGGACCTCCATACTTTCTCTGCCCCGTGGTGATATCTAATGTGTAGCCGCTTCTGTCCAGCAGCGCTTTGATCTTCGCTTCGTCCGGGCCTTTCGAGGCGTCAGAACCAGCAGTAAGCTGACCCTGTGCTTTTTGACGGTTTTTCTCGCGATATGTTTTCATCACGCCACAAAGAAAGGCACTCTTGTTCTGGACATGGGAAAGATCACTGTTTCCGAACTGATCTAAAACTTCAAGGGCCCCATCTTCATTGAATTCGCGTAAAGCGTCGAGCGCCCTGTCATCTAACTCAGCCGGTAGAAGAGAGCCCGTTGCGAAAATCGCTCCCACTCGTTGTGCCACTCGAACGCTCAAGCCTTGGTTCACAAGCTGTTGTGCCTCTTCCGATAGTTCTTGTGTTGATTCCATGATCGTCTTGTTATCAAACAACGGCACAGCTCAAGCCAACAAGTGTAGTTAAACGACGCCGAGGAAATCTGTGCAGACAACGTGGTCTTGGATGCCACAGCGAGCATGTGCAAGAGGGGTGGACCGCGGAAATATCCAGGGATATCAATCTTGTCAAGTCACAGGCTACCCATCATTTACTGTCAATGCGCTGTGGAGTGCCCAGCTAAGAGCCTAGGGGTATCCGGTAACTAACAATAGGACAATTGCCCAATGACGTCATTTTACTACAACTACCAGAATCCTCGAGTTTGTTGTTTTCTTGTGCAAATTGAGGCCATTGTTCTTTAATCCTCAGCGGGATTGACAAATTTAAATAACAAAGCAAAACCGAAATGAATTCTGGTAGTTGTAGTCTAATATCGTCATCGTGCAATTGTCCTATTATTCCTCAAGCCCGAATGGGCTGAGTCAATCCATGAGGCTGAAGGCTGAATGGGCTATTGACTTAGAGGCCATGAGGGCGAGAGGAATAATTGTCTTAGTAAAATCCAACTGGTTGGTCAAAAATATCGACAATAAAAACATTTTAGCTGGTTAAAGCTAGACTTTAATCCTTTTTTGCCGCCAAGAAACGCTCGCTACTAGTAGGCTATAACATGTGGCCTAGTAGTAGCTCAACCAAACAGAACGCAGCATTGATAATAGACCACTAGTTGGACCCAAGCCGAACGAATTTTTCGAGCAGGAGCGCGAAGCAGCGCAGGATAGAAAAAAAAAGTCATTTACCCACCGCGTAGCCTACGTAGCAAGCGTTTCTGTGCGGTTTGGGAGCAAAGAACGAGGAACAAGAGTCAAAGACCGCGGGGAAAATGGCGCAAGTAAAAGAGCAAGTAAAAGTAAAAGCTTCCCCTTCCCCTCCCCCCTCTTTCATTTTTTGGCTCTCGTTTCATTACTCGCGCGGTCAAAACCGAAAATCCCGTTCCTCGGTCTTTTTTTGCTCCGAAACTAAACGGAAACGCTTGCTACGCAGGCTACCCACCGCGTTCCTTGTGATGGTCTAATGAAGAACAAAGCAAAAGAAGGATATCACAAGACCTAGCCTTCTCCGCCTCTCCTATAATTACAGATAAATTTGGATTCGAAGCAAACGAACTTTATGTTGAATTAAGCAGAATGGTAATAAATGCTGGTAATTGGGTCAAAGATGTGTTCTGAGCATATGCATAATTGGCTATATTTCCGCTAGGAGACCTAGAACAAATTGGACTTTTCCCCAAAAGTAAATCTTGAGGTTTTCTTGTGTCTTAGCGTTAAATTATGGTTACGTGACATGACATGTTACCAAAAATTGAAAATGAAGGAAATTGGCGAATTGGTGGCGAAATTACTTTGTTCTGATAAACAAATTCGCGTTTCGGAAAAAAAATGAATATACCTAACTTTTTACGTTTGGAATGAATGTATGCGAGGTTAAAAATTAAAGTTTTAAATAATTCAAGATTAAATTTGGGCATTTAAAATAATGTTTTCCCTCATAATTTTTTATCAAAGTGAATGGACGGTCATTCCAAACGTTAAGTGTTAGAAATCTTTAATCTGAATTAGAAAAAAAATATTATTTCCCGATTTCTTTTCTGAAACCGGCCACCAATCGGTCAATAATTTACTATTTTTAGCAAAATGGCCACCTTACATATCACTTGAGTTATTAACACTATGTTTATACTTTAAAATGTTAAGGGCGATGAGCTCTTTATGTGTGCCAAATTTCGATTCAGCACCATCATCCGTGACGAAGTTAGTCAATAATTCATTTTCCACAATTAAACCCTTTAGTCCCAGGCCTTAAACTACTTGAGAATTGATGAAGGTTGCAGTAAAAAGGCAATCAATTAACTGCGTAAAGAAAAGTGAACTTTCTTTATTTATCTCTATACGTCCCATGTATGCCGTCTAGTTGTTCTAAAAGATCGACTCATTATCATCTTTATTCGGTCGATAAAGGTACATATCGAAAGACAAAAGTCATAAAAATTGCAAATCATTTTAAAAGTTACAATTCAACCTGGTCCCCAGGGCGCTTTTCCCTGGCTTTGCGGGAAAAGCGCCCTGGGGACCAGGTTGGTTACAATTAAAGAAGGATCACATTGCTAAGTTATAATTGAGGAATATCCTATTTACAAGGCAGTTCTTAAAACGCTCAGGGTTAACGAGGAAGCTGAGATGTCTTTCTTTGAAGCCTGTACCGGCGGAAGAGTCCTTTACGGTCGGTAAGATAGAATATAGCGGATGATGTTATCATAAAGCTTTGTGTCAGCCGATTGATTAGTCTGCTACACAGCCGTTTTTAGTGTCGTCACGCAACGCTCCTCCCCACTGTTTTTAGTGTCGTCACGCAACGCTCCTCCCAGTGGGGAGGAGCGCTGCGTGACGACACTAAAAACGGCTGTGTAGCAGACTACCGATTGTTCTAAAAGATCATAAATGCTTCATTTGTCGGGGATGTAGCGTCTTTAATCACATTTTTTTTAGAAAGCATTCAATGACAAAAAGGTCAGCCTTACTTGCACCATAAAACCCCGGGCCTGAGACAGATCAGTCAGCTAAAAAGCTAGAACTTTGACAGCAATCGGAAGTAACGCAAGGTTCCTCTGAAGCTAAGAATCAAATTAACATATTAATATCATAGGTGACGAATTACTCCTTAATTTTGGCGCGAAATTTCAGGGTTAATTTGTAATTTCACATGTGAAATGGCAACCCTCCGTACGTCTCAGTGTCAAGATGGCGACGAAGTTTTAAAAAGCCGTTAATGAAGATGTCAGGGTACAAAAAGACGCTTTAGAAAACCTGAACACACAAGAGAACATCAAGAAGGATTTTGCAGGTATTTTGCCGAAAAAGTCTGAAAAATTCTGAACTTTGTAAGCCAAATTTACGGTCTAAACTTTTGAGAGAGTGGAGTTCTCGATCGATACGATCCAGGATAAACATGTCAAAAATCTAAGATTGCTAACGTAATTCGTCACCCATCATATTAATAGGTAATCAAATGGTATACTCGTGAAATTAGGGAATAATTTCAAAGGCTCGGGAAATTATTAGGATTTGGACAAACGCGTCACTATTTGATTACACATACTAATATTTCCATATTTCCATATTTCCACACTTCCAAAGTTAGCAGCGAAAACTACTCGATTCTACGTTTGCATACATTTGTCTTTATAAAATAACTAAGATAGTACGCGCGCTCTGATTGGCCGAGAAGAGTGTTTGCATGAGAGTATGTAAACATGGTTGTGGCGTCAAGTTGTTTGGCTTTTCGCGCGCTAATCACGCAAGCACGAATTTGAAAAAGTTTTCGAGTTCAAAACTCGACAAGTTTATCTTATTTGCCCATTCCTTCGTCGGCTGAAACATAGAAAACCGTTACAATGAAGGTGAGTCAATTTTTCTTCGCTTAAGCTAAGTGAGAAAAATCCGTATTTTGCAAAGCATCTTTTTGCAAAACAAGAACTGACTACGCGTGCAAGACTTCGTGGACAAGATTTTGCGACTGCTAAGATTTTCTCTTTTAATCAGTGCCATACAAAGAGTCTTGCGTTTTTTTCTCGGGAAAGTTATTTTATAAAAGCAATAGAAAACTTTTTTCCTGTGTTTGCATAGCCTGATATAAACACCCTAGGCGTTGGGAGCATTCTCGACGGTTAGGCAAACCCTCGACTTCGTCTCAGGTTTGCATGACTGTCTCGAATTCTCCCAACCCCTCTCGTGTTTATATCAGGCTATGCAAACACGGAAAACGTTTTCTATTGCTTAACTATTACGACTACTGTCGCATATAGTTGTCATGAATTAACGATAACGTTACCGGCTTTTACCCATACCATTCTGATGGCGCGTTCTGTGCTCTTCTACCAGAAGAAGTTAAAGCCACAAAACGCGGGAGGTTGATTCCAGTTCATAAATAGGGGATGAGGATAAGTTGGGGGGTGTGGAGCAAACATCATGGGTTGATACATAAATGGAGGTTGAGGATAAGTTAGAGGTTGTGGAGCAAAGAACATGGGTGGTTGAAAATAACTCGGGGTTTGGAAACAAACCACCGGAGGTTGATTCATAACTAAGGGTTGAGGATAAGTTGGGGGTTGTGGAGCAAACGCCATGGGTTGATTCATAACTTGCGGTTGAGGATAAGTTGGGGGTTGTGGAGCAAACACCTTGGGTTGATTCACAACTGGCGGTTGAGGATAAGTTGGGGGTTGTGGAGCAAACGCCTTGGGTTGATTCCTAACAGGAGATTGAGGATACGTTAGTTGTCGGGGAGCAAATACCGGAGGCTGGGGGGTTGGTGAACGTTGGTTATAACCTTCTGAGGATGCAACACCTCGCAGCCTGTGTTCACGAGATGGCGACGAATTATGTGGAGGAGACCTTGGGCGAGAGTAAGCATCCGTGTCTGTTACGGATTGTTGCAAATTCTGTGATATTTCTCTCTCATAAGATATAGAAACCTTTTCTTCTCTTACACTGTAAGAAAAATGATCATCACGAAAACGCCTAGCACGAACCATAACATGTCTCCTGCGAAAATGTAAACCTCTCTGCCGATTACTTCGATATGGCGACGAATTTTCAGGAGGATGTGGCTTCATAGCTCTAGGGGGAGCGGGTGCGAGTTCATTATCTGATGGTCTTCCTCTCTCACATAAAGGCGAAAATGTGTCTCCTCTTATGCCTGAGTATGAATGAGCAAAACCTGGGTCACTAGTTTCACAAGGGTTTTCATGGCCACTGATCAGTTCTTGGTGAATTTTTCTTGCACTTGGTCGATCGTTTTTGTCAAATTTCAAGGCACTAAGAGTTATCCGTCGCAGAACACATGAGCCTTGCGCCTCCGCTCGTCTAGTAAATTTGATGCAATTTCGTGGATCACGCCACATTGCATACCCAAGTCCAACACATTCCCTGTCAATAAACTTGAACGCACCGAAATAACTCTCTCTACCAATACGAATAGAGTCCCTCTCTAAGATCGCAAAAAATATTGCACCAAGTGAAAAAACGTCAGCTTTTTCAGTGTAATGGCCTTTAAAAACTTCGGGGGCCATCCAGTATGGGGTACCAACTCGTGAGATCATATAATCTTGTTGTGTTTTTACGTAGCGATGCACCCATGAGCGCAAGCTAAGTTTTTGTCTAGAATCGGTCGTCACTTCGGTGTACTCGCGGGCCAAGCCAAAATCAGCTAATTTGACATCCTCTGTTACCGTTAACAGCACGTTGTCTGGTTTTAAGTCACGGTGAACAACTCTACTTGAATGGAGGTACTCAAGAGCTGCGGCCATTTGGCACATCCACCGAAAGTTTAATTCTGGACTGCTTGCTCTAGCAAGGCGCTTGTTCAAGTTTCCACCAGAGCAGTACTCAGTCAAAATCAACATATGCAAACCTTGGCTATCTCTCAGTTGTTCGGCCTTCTCAAGTGCAATTATGTTCTCGTGACAGACTCGCTTCAGTGTTTGAGCCTCCCGAATAGCTTGCTGAATTTGTTCAGGTTGTGAATCGCACGAGCATAAGATGTCCTTCAAAGCGTATACTCTAGAAGTTGCTTCATCCTTCACTTTGTATACCACACCGAAACCGCCGCTGCCGATCCGCTTTTCGATTCTTAGTATTCTCGTTCCGAGTTGTACTCTTGAAGAGTTTTGCATTGTTTCAGTGAGATGGAATCGTGTACGTATTTCACGAGAGAGGAGCAAACTAGCAACTGGACACGGAAGCTTTTCAGTACTTCCGCGTGCGTCATAGGACAGTCAGAACGACACCAAATGGCCAGTGGCCAGTCCAGGCTTTTCCAATTTTGGAAATGCGCGAAACAATAACGTAACGTCACAGCATGGCGGGTTTGAAATATCATCTGGAAATCTGTTGTGTTCCTCGTTTTTCCAGCAGTCTTTGCTCGCATTTTTGTAACTGACAACAGGGACCTTAAGATCCGACGACGACGACGGCAACGGAAACACCACAAAAGCAATAGGTTTAATTAGCAAAACAACAATTTTGCACGTGCATCACGCTTTTTTGTACATTTCTTTGCCGTCACTGCACGACTACGACGTGAAAATGCATAATTTCACGTTGCACCGAGGAAGTACACAATCGACGCGAAATTTCCTCTCTCTTTCTGCACTTGGATATGGTTCTTAGGAATTCAACCTTAGGATGGTTCGCCTACATTTGAAAAAGTTAGTGACTTGGAGTAATCGGGATGAAGATTGAAAGAACACGAATTCACTTTTTCAGCGACGTTTTTTTCTGCCGTCGCCGTCCTCTGATCTTAAGGTCCCTAACAACGAAGAAGATACGGTAGAGGGCTTGTGCGTAATTAAAGCGATGAACGATAGATTTGAAATGTCAGAGTTCTGTTGATGTACGTGATAATTTTCATGCACTTTGCGTGTTAGGGCCTGTTTACATGGAGTTGGGGTAGGGAGGTGGGTACGAGAGAGGAGCAAACTGGACGCAGGAGCGTTTCTGTGCCGCTGCCGAGCCGCTTTTCGATTCTTAGTATTCTCGTTCCGAGTTGTACTCTTGAAGAGTTGTACATTGTTTCAGTGAGATGGAATCGTGTACGTATTTCACGAGGGAGGAGCAAACTATCAACTGGACGCAGAAGCTTTTCAGTACTTGGGATAGACAGTCAGAACAACAACAACGAAGAAGATACGGTAGAAAGCTTGTGCGTGATTAAAGCGATGAACAATGGATTTGAAATGTTAGAGTTCTTTTGATGTACGTGATAATTTTCATGCAATTTTGCGTGTTATGGCCTGTTTACGTGGAGGTGGGGTAGGGACTCCAGTACTTCCGCGTGCATCATAGACAGTCAGAACGAAAACAAATGGCCAGTGGCCAGTCCAGGCTTTTCCAATTTTGGAAATGTGCGAAACAATAACGTGACGTCACGGCATGGCGGGTCTGAAATATCGTCTGGAAACCCGTTGTGTTCCTCTTATTTCCAGCAGTCTTTGCTCGCATTTTTGTAACACAACAACAAAGACGACGCGATAGAAGGTTTGTGAATAACTAAAGCGATGAACAGTGGATTTGAAATGTTAGAGTTCTTTTGATGTACGTGATAATTTTTGGGCAATTTTGTGTGTTAGGGCCTGTTTACATGGAGGGGCAACCTCGTCCTCGTCCTCAGGGCGCTTTTCCAAAGCCCCGGAAGCGCCCTGGGGACGAGGATGATGGAGGAGGGTACCCCAGGTAGGTGAGGTAACCCGCTTAGATGGGGTAACCCGCCTGTCCATACAATCTTTCACATTAATTTGATCACGTTTACATGATAGGTCGGGTGACCCTCTACATGTTACCTCACCTATCTGGGGTCCCCATCTCCATGCAAACAGGCCCTTATTATCATCTTCAGGTCTTAAAAAAATCCTCTAGACATTCCCGAGATATTCTAGCTTTTTCTTACTGCTGCGAAGCCACCAGGTTTCGCAGCAGACTAATTCAGGTCGAGTACGTGACCAGCCTGAGTTGCCTGTGCCCGAATCGAAGCCAGCCTCATTTGAGACTTCTGGATGTATGTATGCCTATCACAATATTTGCCTCGATTCAAGTTTGTCCCTCGAGATCGAGGCTATTTTGTTTGTATTCAATCAAATTTCAGAAAGAAACACCTGAAGAAAACCTAACCTAAGAGATATCCTGTTTCGTATAGAAAGCCACTGGTTTTTACAGGCGAGGAGTATGAATTAATGCAGGTGAAGGTAAAAAATTCCCTTGAATTGAATCCATACGTTTCTCAGAATATTTCAAGCAATTCCTGGAACTCTACGGTAAATAAAGTCGGTGGTTTGGCTAAATTTGTATTCAGACAGGCATTGTTGTATTTATTTAATTGATAAATTACTTTAGTTATGAAGAGCTTTTCTCGAAAGTGTGACAAGGTTTGTTCTCCCTTGGTAGTAAATCGTACGCGTTTTATAGACGACGGAAGCAAAGATTGAAAATGATTTGATACGCTCGCGAACCAGTTTTAATATTAGTCTGCTACACAGCCGAGGAGCGTTGCGTGACGACACTTAAAACGACTGTGTAGCAGACTAGTTTAATATTGAACTCTATTTGGAAACTCACTTTTTTACTTACTCCATACAGTCCAAGGCCCGCGTAGCAAGCGTTTCTGTGCCGTTTAGGAGCAAAGAACAAGGATTAAGAGTGAAAGACCGCGCTAGCGTGTTCATAGACCCCCTATTTTGCAAGGTCGTCTGTGATTGGCTAATCGTATATCTGAAGCATAATTCTTTTCAGCATAATATTATTATTTGAGTGAGTTGATATGGAACGATTTCTTCCCTTTCTGGGAATCGGAACTGAAATTGTCACGATGACAATTTCAGTTGCGATACCCAATAAGAATTGTACTCCATGCGAAAAAGTACAGGCTAAGTGTTGCTCAGATTGAGGAGAGAAAATATATATATATATATCATCAAATTAAGAGTTTCGTTCTTTTATTAATGCTCGAGTGCCGAACCAAAAGAGAGCACATACTTTTAGGATCGTAATTGTGTGACGCGCAGTTACAAGGTGGCACCCATGACTACATGTACAGTATAATCTATGGTGGCATGGTGGTTTATGGTGGTCGGGGTGGTCGGAGTGGAACTAACATACTAGCCAATCACAGACAACCTTGCAAACGGTGCAGGCCAAAGTCCTTCGAGCGCGAGTGATAAAAAATAATTGCTCACCAGCGCGTGTTCTTTCCAAAAGAAAGAAAAGCAAAAAGAAAGCGAAAAATAAAACAACGTCTGGGTACAGGCTAAGACCGCGCGAAAGATAGCGCAAGTAAACAAAATCCCCTTCCTCGGTCTTTCTTTGCTCCGAAACCAAATGGAAACGCTTGCTTCGCAGGCTACTCACTCCATCGCTCGCGTGCTCTTGATCTTAAAATCGTGGACAGCTTTTAGTTACGCCTCACAATACGCAAAAAAGAAGAGGAACTAAAGAAAAGAACAAAGTAGGGACCTTCACGACGATGTTCAAGGTGGGTTACCCATCCAAATCCTAGCCCCGCCGGACAGGGCTTAACTTTAAATTTTTATCGATCGCCTTCGCGTTGTGGTAATAGAGACTGCAACTGATTCAAAGTAACTGAAATGCAATGCTTTACTCGCAGCACTTCACTTTCCCATGGAAATTACTAGTTCTGGCTATATTTTGGACGGTATGTTGAAGCCACAAATATAATAATTGACCTCAAATCAGACTGACCTCAAATAAAGCTATCCTGATTCAAGTACGCACAAGCAGTCAAACAAAAGGTCTGGAAGGAGGCTGAAAACGGAGAACGAGACTGGGGAGAGACGCTAAGAATACGTCAGTTCCCCTCTCTTCACACGCCCTACGGGCGTGAGGCTCGCTTGAGACTCTTACCCCACGATTTACCGATTTAACGTACCTGTAACAATACTATCTGGAATAGACGGGAGGATACAAAGTACAAACGGACATACAGAGAGAAGAAAAAGTGCGTGCAAGCACGCTAGCTTCGTGAACATGGCTGCCACGTTCTTTCTCTTGCGACAACTCGGAAGCGACAACGTGGAAGCGACAACTAGGAAGTGACAACTCGGAATGCGACAACGTGGAAGACAGTTGTCAAGGGGTAAAAACTTGAACATGAACTCGTGTATTTTCAAAGAAAGTAATATTAACATCTTGGTGGTTCGCATGCCCCCCGCCCCATCCATCCATTTTGTAATACCAGAGGTCCCCCTGGAATGGAGCGACAACTCGGAAGCGACAACTTGTGACCCCTATCGGCCTTTCCGTAGTTTTGCGGTCTATAATAAAGCCCACAAATGTAATGACCTCAAATGTAATAATTAATGCACTCAAATGTAATACAAATTTACCCCAAAGTAATAAAACCGACAAATGCTATCAAAACCGTATATACTGGAAAGAACGCCGCCTTCAATACAAGTCGGACAAAATAAGCGCCGCGGCGCTCTTTCAAAAAACACAACATCCTATTGCATTTAATCGGAAAAACGTTACCCTGAATAAACTTTGCAGTTTTAAATCGAAAAGAAATAAGCACCGCGGCGCTCTTTCGAAAAATGTAATGTTTCACTGCATTTAATCGAAAGGGTGCCAACCTCAAGTAAGAGTCGCACATGAGAAGAAAAAAAATAGATACGCAAATCCGCACTCTTTAATTCGAAGAAACGTATTTTTCTCATGCATTCAGCCCATTCAAGCGAGAGTGCTGCTGCATTTCCCAGCAATACGGTAGCGCAAAGATTGGGGGTGGTGGTGGGGGGGGGGGGGGGGGGTGGGGGGCGGGGGGGGGTTCATAAAAAGGTTGGGAGGGGGGGGAGGAGGGAAGTTTAGGAAATAGTGTTGGCTGGAAGGGGGGGTTTCAACACTGGGTCAAAAAAAGGAAGGGGAGAGTTAGTAAATCCGCGTTTGGTTGGATTAAAATTGAACATATGTGCAGTCGTTTACAATGACTTGCTGTCACCATAAATATTTATTGAAATATATTTTTTTTCATCACATACGACCGCTATTGGGGGGGGGGTTGGGGGGTTTGCGGGAGGAGGGGGGGGGGGGGGGGGGGGGGGGGGGGGGGGGGGGGGGGGGGGGGGGGGGGGGACTGGAGGAGGTTCATAAAATGTTTGGGATGGAG